TGTGGCAAGCATCCTCTCCTTCGTGCTGCTTCTGGTAGGTGAAACCTTCATTTGAGGCACAGCTCTCTCTTGCTCTCTACCTGAGTGTCTGCTTTCACAGAACTTGAAGGCTTTTCACTGCAACACCTCTGTTCCTCTAGGTTAGATCAGCTGTAAGGTCACATACAGCCTGGCTTCAGGAAACAAGGAAAATGGCAGGGACTGAGTGAAAATTTGTTTTCCTCCTGCAGGTGTATTTACTTTTTAAATAAGCAATCATTTTACTTCTTTCAAAGTAACTTGCCTATTCCCAAAGAGGGGACGGGACATGAAGTAATTGCTGTCTGTTAGATAAGTGGTACCAGCAGCACCAGGCCCACATGTACTTAGCCTCTCAAAATGAAGTTACCAGAAAATCAAGGGTCAGCATGGGTTAAACAGGCTTCTACTAACAAATTCTGCCTTTTCTATGGCAACCCTTTTGTAGTTCTGCTTGCAGCTCCATCTTGCCTCATTCACTTTTATGCTTAGTGAAGTCTCTTAACCCAAGAGTCTCAACAGATAGGGCCAATCCCCACACCTAATGGCAGCCACTGCTCAGTTTCATTTACGAGATGCTTTGGCAGAGATTCCTGTCTGTCAGATAGATTCCCTCCCCCCTTCCACTCTCTCCAGTTTTGCTCATTCCTTCAATGAGATCATCCTCATTTTCTTCGGTTTTGCTCATTCCTTCAGTTGTAGATCATCCTTTCCTGACACACTCACCTTCAGCAGCCGCACAGTTAACAGCATACCCTCTGAAGTACTGATGTTTCTTGGTGAAACATGCAATACTTATCTTCACAGTACCATAGCAGGGTCTGTACAAATGCAGTCTGCCATATTTGCATGAGCAAGATGCTGTGAAGAGTTCTTCCCTTACAGTGAGAAACATTGGCTTATGTTTCTGATATGTTTAAAACTCTGAACAATTTGATACTGTCCTTGAAATACTGCTCATTACAGCATCATGCTTTTGAAAACACCCAATTTGAAAGCTTCAAGCAGTTGGCCATTTTAACAGTTTCTATATAGAAGGAAGCAGAAAAAAAAAATGAGAAAAAGTTATTATGTCCATTTGTTCATATTGTTTTGAAGACAAGTGTGAAAGTATTTCTCTATAAAAGATCAAGAATAGAAAAAGAGGGAAATAAAGGAAAAGAATAGAAGATGGAGGTTGGTTTGTGCCCTGCAACTTAGGCACTACCAACTGTCCTCATTGGACTATTAAGTAAAAGAACTGGTAGGACAATGTCTGCTGAGGATTTGAGGGTGGGATGGCTGGGGATAGTGGAAGGCAAAGGCAAGCTATGAATATGGACTGGCTTCTTTTTCTTCAGAAACATACACATGCCAGTGGGTAGCCAAAGAATTCACCTCCAGATGATGTTTCACCCCTGCACAATACCTTCTTTCTTGAAGAAATTTAAGCTTGACTCCCTTCAGTTCACCTTACACACCCTTCTGGTAATGTACTGAGCTCTTGGGCCTTGCAGATGAATGGGATGAAAGTGTGACAATCACATTGCAGGATCTCAGTATTTCAGGGCTGGGATAATGAATGGGAAGCTGCTGAGTAGCACTTCTGATTCTACCATTCTCCACATTCAAGAATGCATGCTATGGGCCTGCAAGGTGTAAACCACAGCAAACTAAGCATGTTATTCTCTTCTAGTCCATCAATAGGTCAAAGTGTCCAGCTTTCAGAATAATTTTCAGTTCAGTATCTTCCTTATCACTGGGGGGGGGGGGTGTGTTACCTCCCAGTTTGATAACTCCCAATTTGGGAATTACCTATTACCTCCCTTGGATCTTTGCAGTCCTCCCCTAGAGCAAATAAAATTCATATTGATGAATTTTATAATCTCACTGCAACCCATTTGTCTGATGTATACAGCAGGGCTGGGCCAAGCCAGGCATCCCTCAGAAGGTCTGCCAATATGCAGTCTCTGAATCATGGCTGCTAACAACTGTATATTGCTTATCTGAAACTGCTACTCTGATTTTTTATGTGGACAGATCTATATTCAAAGCAAATAGCTTGATTTGGTGATTCATTTTCTTTAGATAATCATGTATTTTCATATTTATCAATCACCAACTTCCTACATGAACATAGACTTATTTGAATTTCAAGCACTGGGAGACTGCCAAATTATGAAAGTAATAGTTTATCTTTTGTCTAATATTACCAGGCAAATAATGACAATGAACATTCATATTGCCTTCACTTCCTTGAACCTCTACCAGAAGAAGCAGCTGCCAGCACAAGGTAAATGAACTAGGGCAAATCTTGTTTCCTTGTTCTAGAGAGCCTTGCCTTCTTTTGCACTCCTTCCATAAGGCTTTAAAGGCCGTCCAACAAGTACCAGTGAAAAGAACTGTAAAGTTTCAGGAATCAATACTTCCATTCCAAAACATACTATAGTTTTAGAAGAACAATGTTAAATTAAGACTATTAAATGTTCACTTACTTACACACACAAGCGGTTCTCATTGCATGCGCAGTTTTACGGCAGATTTAAGGTATATATGGAAGTACTTTGAAGTGAGGTATACTGTAAAATAGCAAGTAACAGTATATATATCCCATGTGAAGTAGAAGGCAACTGAGCCCTCGGGATACATGCTGTCTCACAGTGTAGTGCAAGATCGCACAACCAGGCAGCTACCCCAGAACTCACACACTGAAATTTCCTCCCTTTGCCTAATCCCACATCAGTAAGTGTGCATGCCACCATTGTCATCTTGTACTCAGGGCTTTTTCTTTGCAAGCCCAAGGGCATACTTTTAACTGGGGGGTGTTAACCGCAGACATTTAATAAACAGTGACTACTTAAGCTTTCATCTGTAGCTTCTTCTAAAAGGAACTCACACCTTCATGGAGAAAAATCAGCCCTCATGATGCTTTTCCAAGTTATAACCAGATATTTTTTTCCCCCTAAAGAGCAACAAGCCCTGTCACAGTGTGACACAGGTAACAAACTGTGAATCTAATTAAGTGTGTAATTATATAGCAGATTGCAGCACAGTATGCTATTAGTTAAACCAACTGATTTGCATGCCAGAAGCATGGCAGTCCAAGAACCATGAACCATGGCACTCAAGGCAGACTGAGCTGAACACATGAGTGACCATTTCCAGGGGGGGTGAAGAATAAACCAGGCTCAGTTCATCCAGGCTAATGACACCTGCATGCATCCCACAAAACAAAAAAGATGGCAGGCACACAGAAATTCAAAGTCTAAAGGAGATGCAAAAACAAACCCTGTAGTGTGGCAGCTATCACAGTTCCCTTGCATCATAAGTTCATACATATCTGTCTTAGTCTTTTTTAGATGAGGCTGTCAGTGTAGAGCTCTAACACTTTCTTTGAAATATGGTGACTTGACAATACCTTTTCAAAGCTGTCTGTGTAAGACAAATATTTGCCCTTTAACAAACTCCTCTTCCCAAAAAATTAATAGTTTTGGGATATGTGCCATCTAACCACACAGTTCTAGATTTGAGTTCTCATACTTGCATACGTAACTTTTACAGTGAGAGTTTCTAATTATCCACACAAAACTGACTTACATTTGCAAATCTCGTTTGAACTGCTGCAACAGATACACACATGGCATTAGAAGCAAACAGCAATCATGATACTGAACCCAGAGCTCTGTGCATCCACCATAGTAGGGCACAAGTAAGCATGGTTTCGCTTCAAAGCTGCTGCCATTATCGTTGTTGCTTCAGGCACTTAGCAACAGATGGCACATATTGGGGAGTTTTGCAGGCAAACACACACTATAAGGTACCATTTTGCCTTTTCTGGGAGGAGATTTTGGGAAGACTAAGGACTGCAAGTAAATTTACAGTGAACAGATGGAAAAACATGCTCTGAAGTAACAGCAACTCTCCCAAATATTAGAGAAAAAAAAAAAACAGTTTGAAATCTAATCTGAGGTTACAAACATGACTGTAACTACCATATCCGAGTAGACAGAATTTACCAGGTTTGAGGAAATACAAAACCATTGCTGAACTCACATTTGCTACAGGGAGTTGAGCTGAATACTGAAGTGCTGTTAGTGTATGGTTTCAAGCACAAAGCTTTAAGCAAAGCCCCAGTGCCATACTTCCCAGACATGAGAGACAGGGTATGACCCTGTTCTAACCTGGGTGATTGATGGACCCCCTATCTCATTGGTAGTCTTCAGGCTTGCATGGTGTACTGAGGGCTTCTGGGTGGCTGACTGTGAGCAGCTCTACCCTTTAGTTCCCAGTGATTCAGTTACCCACTGATCCTGACTGGATTGTTCTCAGTGCAAGCAGAGTGCTACACTGCACTGATAACACTTAAGCTTAATAATAGGATCATGGAATGGTTTGGATTGGAAGGGACCTTAAAGCTCATCCAGTTCCAATTGCCTGCCATGGGCAGGGACACTTTCCACTAGATCAGGTTAATCCAAACCCCGTCCAACCTGGCCTTGAGCATTACCAGAGATGGAGCAGCCACAGCTTCTCTAGGCAACCTGTGCCAGTGTCTCACCACCCTCATAGTAAAGAACTTCTTCCTAATGGTTAATGTTTCAAAAGAGGTAGTTTCACAAAGAGGGAGGAAAATGAGGAGGTAAATCTAAATTTGCCACTTGAGTTTAGAGAAGTCAATCAAATAAAAAATGTGAATGAAAGCAGTGGTGGCTTTAATTATCTTATTATTGATTATCACAGTTCCACCACACATTTAATCTGTCACCAGGGGATTTAGTTTGGCCAGAACTAAATCCCCTGGTGACAGATTAAATGATTCTGTCTGTTCTCTGATTTAGTTTCTCCTTAAAGAGATCGACAATTTATAGTCTCTTAAATAGTTACTGTCTCCAGACTGGCTCTTCTCCCCATTCCACCGGACATTAAAGAAGAAATCCTTTTTTCCTCTTCTAATTCTTCCTCTCAAGGTGGATTCCTGTTGCACATGCAGTAAAGCCAAACCAAGGAGAAAAGCACTACTGTTCTACCCATTCCACTAAGGCTTACCTGCATGGTAGTAGGTAACTCGGTGCTTTTGTTTATATTTGCTCTGAGTTAAGCTGTCCCACTCCTTTGTGGCCACACATCCATTAAAACTCCTGCCTATTATGTTATTTTTACTACCTGTCTTCAGCACTCTCATGTCATTTTGCAGGAGCTGAGGTGATTTTCTGCAGTTCTGAAAATTCAGCCAATGACTGGTTTTCAGGGCAAGAGTAGATCCCATTCCATGCTATGCCACAGCCATAGCTGTCTTCTTGTATTACAGCATGGCAGTAGAGTCCTACATCCATTGCTTCCTTGCTGAGGAATCACACATCAATTGCTTCATCACACAGTGAACTTTCGAGTTCAAAAGTGTTACTAGTGAGAGTAATATATTACTACTGTAGCACCAAAAACATGGAGTTATTATTTATGTCCCATTATGCATCACCAGAAAATTGAAGTCCATCTCTTATGGCTACTCTCTCTTCTCATTACAAAAACTGGCCAAAAAAGTCACATTTGTGAGGGGGGTTCAGGAAATTAAAAAGACTTATACTTGAGATAAATCAAAATATTTGAAGCATCTTGTTTCAGTGTTGAACCCTGTGTATGACTAGAGGCCACACATTAAGAACCAGGAAACCTAGACATTCTGGAGCATTTTGATGTTCTTTCAAACTCTAAGTTCAAACCAAAATTGTCCAAAACATATGTCTATTACATTCTATTGAAGTGGCATATTAAGATGGAAAAAGCATATGTAAACACTTTTTATTAATCATCACCACTAGGCCAGATTATCATTTCAGTTGTACTGGCAAAATTCTGACTGTCTTCATTGTGCTTGTCAAAATGGTAGTCCTGTGATTTCAGTAAGACACAGTATTGAAGATGCAGAAAACAACCAGAAATTCCTCTTTCTTCAGTGTCTTTGGCTTTGATTCAGGACAGGGAATAAAAGTGGATTTTAGAAATTTAAATTCAATCTGGTTAAAATGTGGCATTTTTAAGAATGAGTTTCTGGAGCAGAAAAATACAGATCCTAAGGACCTTCCTTTCAGAGCTTGTCCATTTCCAATCCTGAATATCAGGGCCAGATTGTTCACATTTAGTTTACAGAGAAATTAGAAAGATAAAAACCAAATAATATTGGGTTAGACTCAAACAAATAGTCAAACAAACCCTGAATACACTTTCTACTTGGATAAAATGTTTGGCACCTTTTTGATAACAAAATTACTTCAGGCTGAAACTCTATATAGCTTCAATGAGTTTACTTTACAGGAGCTCCCTTTAACAAACAAGTGTAAGTCCTAGGAGTGGTTACTCTAAGAATTAAGACAACCAGTTCCACCTAACCCTATTTCTACAAGAGCTCATATCCTGTCTACTTGGAAGTTGCCTTCCATTAGCAACTCATGCTGTTATTTTACTGTTTCTTTGATAGATGTGTTACTGTATTGGACTCGTACTGGTTTGTGGCAACTACTGAGGTCAATCTCCTTGTTTCCAAGCACTTGACTGAATTTTATCCATGTCGTCACATGGTTGGTGCAAACTAATTTCACATAGGTAAACACAATGCAGGCTTAGTGTGTCACACTGCTGAATCTAATAAACTTTACTGAGAAACTGAATCATGTCCAGGAAAATTATATTTACAGGAGAACAAGGATGTATTTCATTTCAGCCATTCACACGAGTACATCTTGACAAGAAGTTTTGCATTAACTATATGACCCAAAAATGGTCTAATTCAGCCTGAGATAAACCATGTGCAAGAAGAAGTCAGACCCACTTTCATTTCTTCTAAATTTTCATATCTAACCAAAATGCCAAAGGTAGAAAGTTAGAGATCTTACACCAGTCTTTCATTAATGCGTACCCAGGCACTTCCAAAGGACAACATAAGGCACTCAGGTGGGTTGAAAGACCCTTAGATGTAACTACTGCTCTCCAGTGACAATAAAAGAGCAAAGACAGTTCCCTTCCTAACTGAGGAAACTCGGGGGGTGATGCCCCAAGACTGCAAGTAGTTCCTGCAGTAACTACTACCTTGGAAAATCATGTGTAAATAAACTCTTGAAAGCAGCACTGCTTTCAGTGCTGCATTATGAGCATAGCAGTTTTCAAGGAAGAACATCCTCCAGTCAGTGCTGTGCCTTCCGTTGCAGGTCTTTTGTCTTTCCCCAGTCCTTAACCGTGTGCTGGATATTCCACCTTTGTCCTGTGCAGGTCTGCATTACAAGTCTATATGAATATGGATTGTCTGCTGCGATTTCGAGGCATCTTTTAGTGCTCCTGTTGATTACAGCCGATCCCTACAAAAGGAAAGGAAAGATGAGAGAAGCTGAGGGCTTATAAATTTAGTGAGAAGCTGAGAGCTTAAAATTTAGTGCTCAGTCAGGAAGCAATTCTCTTGACCTTTACAAATGTGTCTGAGAAACACTAGTAGGTCAGAGACCTGAGAAAAAAAAGTTGGGTTTTCCTCAGGCTGATAATGCATGACAGCTTATGGAACATTATGAGGCATATTAAAATATATGCAGAGGCTTATTTTGTGTCTGCTTTTTCAAGCTGGGGGGAGGGAGTGGGTATTTTTTGTGGGTTTATGGGGTTTTTACAGCTTAAATAATTTTAGTAGATTTTAATACTCTATCCCACTTTGAAAGAAGAGAGCTAATAACAGGTAAGAATATTAATATATTATCCCTAAGTCAATATTTCAATACCAATTACTGTGAATGAGGTGAGGTGTGATTAAGTCAACTCATCAGGCCAGAAATGAGGCTTTTCCTAAGGTGCTGGGCTCCAGAGCAAACAGAATGTTAGCTGGCTCCTTCACGCAGCCAGTTGTTTCACTATGATAATTCTTGATGCACACAAGGAACTGGAGGTTTACTTTTAAGGTGGGTCTAAACCCCCCAGAAAATATATATGCACCTTTTTCTAAGTTTCATGGTTACAGACCAGACTAAAGATAAAGCCCATGTTCGCAGAATTTCTGGAGACCATGTAGATCTATACTATTTGGGTCACTGAATCCTTTATCTTTCACCAGTTCAACTCTAATATTCTCTACCACTTGCTCACAAGATTTGTCTCCTGCTTTAGGTTTTCACTGCGAGATGCAATAAACAGGCCCATACATTATGTGTAAAATTAATTAATTATTAATTACATAAAGCTAATAAGGTTTGAACTGCCTGAGAGGGCAGAAGCTGCATGGCTTCCTTTCCCACCTCTCCTTCCACTGTTATCACTGTTGCCTGTTTATCCTGCCCCAGCAGCGTGACAGTACCTGTCTTAGACTAGCTGACTAAGCTGGTATTATCATATTCTGTATTCAGAGGCACTGAAAGCATCATTTGGGATCTTAAGCATGTCAGCATCAGTTGGCATAAATCCTGCACAAATGGAACCTCTTAAATTCTGGTAACTCAGTTTCAGCTGTGTGACCATCCCCTTGTTTTTAAAATGACACATCCCTGAAGACTCAACCACCTTCACCACAGCTCTTGCAGTGGCACCTGCAAGCCCTGAAAATTAAGGCAAAGTTATTCAGAAACAAACCTGCTTTGCAAGGAAGTGTCCAAGGATTCATTATAATGGGAGAGCTTATTGAAAGGTGGGGCTATAGAAATCCACCTACCTGCCTAAAATCCCAGTGCAAGTTCAGACCTTTATTCACAGCTATGTCACATTTCTCTAAAACAGGCTGGTCCCCATTCCCAGGGTCTGTTAGGCATCTATCACCTGTATTCCGTCGGGCTTGTAAACCTCCTACATACATTTCTCCAGTGCTGTGATAAAAGATGTGCTGAAAGGGAAGGTGACACTGCTGTCAGTAAATTCAGATACAAGGGAAATCTCATAAGCAGGTGACAGCAGACAGTTCCAAAACTGATATTGAGAAGTGTCAGCTGTACAGCACCAGCATTCGTTGAGCTCTCAGTAATTAAACCAGGATGAATTTGACCCTCTACAAAATCTTTCTGCTTTCCAATGAAAAACAAAATCAAGATGCTTACAATTGAATGGTAACCCTTAGCTTCCCTCCTTCTGAGGGGACGGTCAGGGTGGTGTGAGGAAGAGATCTGTCTCTCTCCCATTTTATCCCAGTGATCTTCTATTAATCAACAAGATCAATCAGTATCAACATGAGGTCTCACAGTTTTTTGGCAAGGCTAAACCAAAAGCCTTAGTTTAACACACATAGATCTCCATGGGAACCTGCTCTGCTTCCAGTTACATTGGGCAGCACAATTTAATGAAATAAAGGTTAATATTTCCCTTTAGATATCACAGAGATAATTTCGAAGTGCTGATTGCATGGTCCTGTGGAGGCCTGAAAGGAACAGTTAGCAGAGGCTTTTACGTGAAGAACTGGTCAGTTGCTTGTATTACCTGTGGTGAGTATGCATGGCACGGATACATAATTGGTGTGTTTCCAGGGACAGGGCCTTGATCAATACAGATGTCTTCTTTCAATGTGTTTTTCATCTGCAGAATAAACCAGGAAATTTACTGTGAGGTACAGCAATCCCGTTTGCAACTCTTCACCACTAATTTTAGAAACTGTTCTGAGAGCAAGGTTACTTTATTTGGAACTCTGCACTGGATCCTGAAGTGGGAGATACAATATGGGTTTAGAAAATAAATCTCAGATTACCTCAATAGAAATAACACACTGTAACAAAAAAAAAAAAAAAAAGCAAACATAAGGTCCGTCAAAGACTCATTGACATCATGCCATGTAGCACCATGTCAGAAGTCACCAAGTAGCTCCAGACAGGTAAGTACCAGTGCTCAGCTCCAGCAAGACATGCAAGCTTGAGTATAGAAAATGCTATCTTGATTCATATGTGCATGCTTTCCAAATTATCCTGGTAATCTCTGCAGAAGAGAATCCATACTACTATATTGAAAAATTCAGGTCCTTGCGAAAAGATATTGATCCATTCTTGGTTGGTCAATAGATGAGTGCTGTACATAGTAGAAAGCCACACATCAAGCACTTTCCCAAACTACTGTTGTTCTCCCATCAGCACACACACAATAAACACAGTTTAGAAATTCTAGACCAACAACTAATATGACAAAGAATTTATAAAGCTTTAGTGCCTAGGAAAAAGAAAATCAAAGTATTTTTAAAGTTTCTAGGAAAATATAATCAGCAAAACAGTGTTCACAACTCTTCCTAATAGTAGAGCTAATGATTTGTTCCATGTTTCAAATAAATATACTCCATACTTACTGTTCCATAACCAACAATGTTGGGAAGAAATATTAAATTAGGGTAAATGTTCTTTATGTACCAGTCAAAGCCTTTACAGTTCAGTTTTTTCCTTAGGTCCTTTCTGGAAGAAACATCTCCAAAGTCTATTCCAGGATTCTGCAAGAACACCGTGTTTAATTTCAGGACATTAAGATGGCCTGGGAAACTAGGGAAAATACAAATTTATTTATCCATATTGTCTATTTATAACATTAAAACTATAGCTAAAATTTCATTTGTAAAAAAAATGTACATTTTTTTTAAACTTCAGGATTTCAGAACATGTTTTGCCTATAAATGCCAATAAATCAGTGAAAAATTAACATATCATTTCATAAATATAGACTATCAGAGCTAGATATGACTAGGAAGTAGTTTCCTTATTTCATACCAAAAAAACAAACCCTAGCTCAAAGTGAAAAATAAGACGGAGCTTGTTAACAACTTTAATACGATCAATAGTCTCTTGACTGCAATACTCATCTCATGTGGGAGCAGTCAAGATTCAAACTATTGTTTACAAGACTGTGTAAATTCTTATACAAAGTGGAAAGCTCCAGCAGGGAAGTTTGGTATAGATCAGTCCAACAGGAACTTACACCCTGTCTTTAAGCACTTTTGTAAAATGCAGCCTGTGGCCTAGATAAGTTAGGTTAGGAATTTCAGATAGACTTGAACCACTTTTTGATGACTGACATTTTCAGATGAAAAATTCCAAATATTTATGGTAGAAATTAATTAAAGAAGTTTTCATTTATGCTATATGACTATATGTTTTAATTTGTTTCTTTAGTATCTATTCAAGAAAACATAAGGAGTTGGGAGTCTATTCCTTTTTTAAAGATTCATAAATCCATTGAAGTGCAGGCTGGGAAAATTCATAAGGTTTTTTTATTAACTGAAGTTATCAATATTCAAAAGACCTGGTCTTGACATTTCCAGTATCTTCAATACTTTGCGCAGGAGGAAAGTTAAAACTGTATTGAGAAGTACCGAAGTTAATCAAATAGACAAAAAACCCCAAACCACTGTAATTTAAGGGATTATTATTATTTTAATTCCCTGGTATTACCATTTTCAGCTTTCCAAGAGTGCTATAAAACTTTCCCCTTTTTCTTCCAGGAAAACAAAAGCAGAACTTTGGGCTGCAGAAAGGAGAACTCACTTAATAAAAGTAATTGGTTATGTGATGAAGAATAATTGAATTCTCTATTTAAAGTTTAAATATCATTTAAAAAATATCCAGGGACACCCATTGCTAGAGACATGCTTTTTCATGCAAAATTATTAATAGTTCAGGTAAAATATTCCCTACATTCCCTAAAGAAGTTAAAATACATGTTAAATAATTTCATTGTAAGCTAGGCATCAGCTCTTGGTTTGAGCCTAAGTGGAACATGTCTATAATCATGCCTCTTGGATGCCATCTATTTCAACAATTATTAATATATCAATATGAATTTTTTTTCCACATGCTCTTTTTTGACCACTCTTAGACTCTGGATTCCAATTTGAAAAACAGAGAAATGCTGTTACCTCAATTGGAAGATTCCATGCAAAGTAGACCATGTACTTGTAATCATCCATCCACACCTCCGCTACCCGCAAGGCGTTGCGTTTTACAGCAATGCTCAAGTCCGGCAAGTAAGGCTTGTGAGCTCTTTCCAAATGAGCAATTCTTGAACAGGGCAGCACTTCTACTTTACCTCCACACTGCCAGGCCTAGGTCAAGAAGAGAGAATTTGAGGTAAAGTTGCCTATCTATTCTTTGCACTTTTTTAAAATCAAAGAATCACAGAATAGTTCCGGTTGGAAGGGACCTTCGAAGGTCATCTAGTCGAATCCCCCTGCAATGAGTAAGCACATCTTCATTTAGATCAGGTTGCTCAGAACCACATCCAGCCTGGCCTTGAATGTCTCCAGGGATGACGCAGTCACCACCTCTCTGGGCAACCTGTGCCAGGATTTTACCACATTCACTGTAAAAATTGTTTTCCTCACATCCAGCCTGAATCTCTCTTTAAAAAAGCCATCACCCTTTCTTTAAATCCATCACCTCTCATCCTACAGCAACAGGCCCTGCTAAAAAGTCTCTGCCTAGAAAGTGCTTCCATTTCTGCTCCCCCAACTCCTTCATCAAATAAACTGACATGCTGTCAACATTCAAAACTCTATTTCCTGGCTAGAGTGAGTGAAATGAATTTTCCAGTACCTTTCATTTCACTATGTGTGGCCCTATCAGAGTCCAGGAGAGTAAAGGCATGTTCTTTCTTCTTTCTCTTTGCCATCACCATTTACAAAACTACTCACCAATTGCCTGTGACAAGGCATTCTGGTCAGTTGGCATAGATGCAGTAAGACAAACTGTTTCATACCTCCAAGTGATGATCTCACTAGAAGCTAGACTGCTAAATAGTGTAGTGGTTATGGACCTGAATGCTTCAGAAGTGGTGACATTTCCCAGAATATGCGAAGAGCAAAACTGGTCCTGCAAAATCTGACACACTAGGGACAATTCAAGAGAAAGAAAAAAGTCCAGTGGACTCCTGGAAAATGTCTTCATGGAATTTGAAGAGATGCCCAAGCAGGACAAAACCAATGATTCAAAAGTACAGAAGCTCCAAAAGCACAAAAGTCCCTCTAGCCTAGTATTCTGTGCCTACAGTGACTGCAAATTTATTTCTAGGGAAGGCTGAGAACAATACAAGTATGTATGTTACCTCTCATAGCCCCCAGTTATTTTCAGGTGAGGGGATTTTGTGCATATTCCCATGATTCTTTTCTGTTTACTAACTCTGAGTAGGTTTTTCATCCATAACTGTTCAGCCTCCCCACAAATGACTGCAATTTTTTAAGACCCACAATACCCTTTGGAAGGAGCTCTGTTCCTGGTCTCTTGGACTGGCCTGCTACTGGAAGAATTAAGTACTTCATTCTCATGTTTGTTTTGAAACTGGTTACTGACTTCTTTCAAAGCCCCCTTGTTTTCATACTTAACAGAGAAAGAGAATAATCAAACCCTTTTTTCCTAGACATGTAAGTCTTGCTGAAAAGGTTTATAAATCTCATGTCTTATCATCTTCTCTCTTCTTTATAGGGATAAGCATTATGTTCATTTTTTTCTTCTCAGGTCTTCCAGAATATCTCCAACCACCAATACTTTTAAAAAATACTCATCAATAGAATTTTTAGTGCTCTTATTTGTTCCCTAATAACTAAATACACTCCAGATGAAATTATTCAGGGGGAAGCCTCCATTCTTGATTTGAAGACACCAAAATTTGAAGAAGACACTACTTTCAAGGGCAGATAGACCTATTTCTGGTTTGGATTTTTTTTTTGGGGGGGGGGGGGATGTTTTGGGTTTTTTTCCCCTAATGCTTAATTTAACTTGATCTTATCTTATTCTTCTACTGAGCAAGGAGACATTAAATTTCTGAAAGAACCACATCTTGAAAGATTCAGTATTCCCTCACTGAATTAGGATTTTGTGTTAGGAGTCAAAATCCTTGAGAAATATCAACAAATGCCTGCTGATGCTTTTGGAAATCTGTCACTTCCATTTAGTACCCAAAATAAAACAGAATTGTTCTGAAATACTAACCCATGCTTGGACAATAGCCAGTGACCTGCGTGCTTTCAAAAAAAATCACATACTAGTTTTCACTGTCTTTCTAAAAAAGATGAAAAAATAAGCTTACCCTTAGGCCAAGTTCCACATTTTCTCCTCCATATATGTGCATTCCACTGTCCAGTACACCAATCTCACCCAAAAATTTCCTATCTGCAGCAATAATCCCCATTATAGATGGACTTCTGGAGAACCAAACAAGTAAAATAAGAAAGAAGTAATAATTATGGGAATAAAGTCAATTAGCCATCAATCACATCTTGAACTTACAGAAGGATTCTAGCTGTATCCAAGAAGGAGCAACAGATTTATTTCAGAGCAACATGCAGATCAACATTCAAGAGTCCTGAAGACAGCAAATAAACTTGATCAGTGGTCTAAAAAGCATGATATAGTATCTTTTAAAGAATTAGATCTATTTTGAGTGATGTCACAAAAGTTTTAACATACTTAAAACAAGAAGAAAGAAATTAGAATGAACAGTTGCACAGAAGAATTGGGTTGGACATTATGGAATTTTACCTAAGGAAACTTAAACACTAAAGCCCATTGCAAAGGGGGACTGTGGAATCACTGTCAATTGAGGTTTTGAAAGACAGATGAGATGACTGGCAGGACCGATTCCCCTGTGGATGAATCCATCCTACATGGGGGGGAAAGAGGACTGAAAGGGGATTTGGCACTCTCTTGATATCCCCATTCTTCATGACCAAACCCACTTCTATTTTCTCTGGTCCAAGATCTGTGGACATTCCCCCATGAAACATTCCTTAACCTACATTTGGCTTGCTTTTATTCCATTCTCCTGCCTGAATGATTATTGCTCACTATATATTTATAACAGAGAGAGAAGTGTGCCAATTTCACCCATAGTTCTTTCTATAGGTATCTGAGCAGACTTGTCTCCAATGCTCTGCTCCCAAGTGTAGTAGTACATGAACAAAGAAATCTGCCACCTTATCTGACAAATGCAGGACATAATTTTCAAATGTTTTCTCAGTGCCTTTCCTCCTCAGATCTATACAGTAAATTTTAAAGCCCTTCATATAAATAAATGTGGTGGATTAACCTTGACTGGCTTCTACCAGGTGCCCAGGAAGCTGCTCTCATTCCTCCTCTGCATGACAGGGGACAATAATAAGATAAAATAGCTCATGGGTTAAGATAAAGATAACGAGGTTGTTCACCAGTTACCATCACCAGCAAAATAGACTCAGCCTGGGGAATGCTAATTTAATTTATTGACAAATAAAAAAAGGACTATAGTAAGAAAGACAAAACCAAAACTAAACCATCTTCCCATCATCCTTCCTTCTTTCCAGGTTCAGCTTCACTCCTGGCCCTTCTACCTCCTCTCCCTACCCCAAGCAGTGCATGGGGATGAAAAATGGGGGTTATAGTCAATTCATAAAACTTCATCACTGCCACTCTTTCCTCCTCACACTTTTCTTTTGCCCCAGTTTGGGGTCCTCCCTTGGGATACAATCCTCCATGAGCTGCTCCAACATGGGTCCTTTTCATGGACTGTAGTTCTTCAAGAGCTGCTCCAGATTGGGTCCTTTTCTGCAGGGTACAGTTACTCAGGAGAAGACTGTTCCAGCACAGGTCCCACACAGGCTGAAGTTCTTGACAGAAAACCTGTTCCTGCCTGAGCACTTCCTCACAGGTGGCACTACCTGCCAGGATCCTACTCCAGCATGGGCTTTCAATATGGAAGGAAAAGAGCATCTTCATAGAATCATAGAATAGTTAGGGTTGGAAAGGACCTTAAGATCATCAAGTTCCAACCCCCCTGCCATGGGCAGGGACACCTCACACTAAACCATGTCACCCAGGGCTCTGTCCAACCTGGTCTTGAACACTGCCAGGGATGGAGCATTCACAACCTCCCTGGGCAACCCATTCCAGTGCCTCACCACCCTAACAGGAAAGAATTTCCTCCTTATATCCAATCTGAACTTCCCCTGTTTAAGTTTTAACCCATTACCCCTTGTCCTATCACTACAGTCCCTAATGAAGAGTCCCTCCCCAGCATCCCTATAGGCCCCCTTCAGATACGGGAAGGCTGCTATGAGTTCTCCACGCAGCCTTCTCTTCTCCAGGCAGAACCACCTCAATTTTCTCAGCCTATCTTCATACGGGAGGTGCTCCAGTCCCCTGATCATCCTCGTGGCCCTTCTCTGGACTTGTTCCAACAGTTCCATGCCCTTTTTATGTGGAGGACACCAGAACTGCACGCAATACTTCAAGTGAGGTCTCATCTTCCTTCAGGGCATATCCGCCTGCTCCAGCGTGGGGTCCTCCACATGCTGCCATGTGTTTATCTGCTTCAGCGTATTCCTCCATGGGCTGCTGTGTGAATATCTGCTCCTGTAGGCTCCTCCACGGGCTGCTATGTGGATATCTGCTCCAGTGGGGTCCTCCACAACTGCCCTATGGATACCTGCTCCACATGATCCTTCCTAGGATGAATCCTCCACATGTTGCAGGGATGCAAGCTGTTTCACTGTGGTCCTCCCCACAGGCTGCAGGGAAAATGCTCCAGCACCTGGAGTGTCACTTCCTGCTTCACTGACCTTGGTGTTTGCAGGACAACTTGTTTATCTCATATTTCTTCCTCACTCCTCTCTCTCACAGCTCCTGTGCAGCATTTTTTACCCCATTTTACATACATTACTACCACCAGCATTACTGATTGGCTAAGTTCTGGCCAGCACAATGTATATTTTGGAGTGAGCTGGAACAGGCTGTGTTCAACATAGGGGCAGCCTCTCACCTCTTCTCACAGAAACCAATAATTTATCCTTTCCCACCACCAAAACCTTGCCACATAAGTGCAATGAAATAAGATAGGGCTACACAAATCTGATTACTATACCTTATCTCATAGGGGTTTTTAGTATTGTTTGCTAAGTGGCTGTTAACAGATGAGAGAGTCAACAACACCTGACATCCTTGTAGAACAAGGAAGCAAATGGTTTTATATATTCAGGATGAGATGGCTACTATTATCATAGTACCAGCAACCATTCCGTGTTGAATACATAAACTAATCTAAGCAGTTAAGGAAGGTATCAGTAACAGAAGCAAATACATTGGCTCTTAAGCGTAGCAATAAGGGGTCACTTCAGGTGTAACAGCTGGTGTATGTGCTCATGTTTTTTCTTGCTTCTATGTGACTCACAAGTGGTTAAGGGTTGAAAAAAGCTGCCCAAGATCACTGCAATCATATACCACTCCAACATCTCCAAAGAAATAACTGCACAACTTAAACCCATCCGAGTCCTCACAGATCAGACACGCAATTGGCCAGCAGAGTTGTAAGATTGTTTGGCATATTGTTGGGCAAGTGTGGAGAAGGGCCACACTTCATCTTGCACAGTCGATAAATATTGCTACCACACTCCTAGCTAAGGAACATAATACAGAAGAATGAATGAGTTGGGGATTGCCTGAAAATCTGACAGCAGAATCAGCACAGGGCTGATTCAACAACCCTGCAACTGGTGTACTGAGATTTTCAGGGCTGCTAAAGAACCCACATTTCCAAACCAAATACTGAGATATAATGTGCTTCATAGGTATCTATCCCACCACCTATGAAAAATCTTCCCTCTGCTTGCTCTACATTTGTATCATGTATCTTGGCTCACCCTCAAATGCTATTCATACTTACTGGACTGGAGCTGTTTCATCTTTCAGAGCAAACCATTCAGCTGGTAAAGGTTCATAAAGGCACCAGAGTGCCCAGTCAAATCCATCTGCAGCCACTGAATACTGAAGAAGCTCAAAGTCATCAAAACGAATATTGTCAAATACTGGTGATATTATAATAGTGCGATCTTCTTTTAGTCGAGACAGAATAGGTTCAGCCCTACCAAAATTAACAAGCAGAGTATATTCAGCTTGAAAAAAATGGAAATCTAATGAACAGTACTAACTTTACAGCCTGTTTCTAAAACTGGGTTAGCTACTTTATGTAAGCTATTTACTTTAGCCTCTGCAAAAAGTTATATGCCAGTCTTGGAGTACTAATAGCCCAAATTGTTAATGCCATGGCTCAACTCTCTCTCCTATTAGACTGCTTCTGCATTTTAACTGTCACTAATAAAAATAACAGTAAATTTCACTTTTAAATCTCTGAGTTTATTGTTACCTGGGAGCCCTGGGTTCAGCAGTAGCAGTCATTTTTCTCCTTCTTAGTAGCTGGTGCAGTGCTGTGATTTTAACTTTCAGCCTGGGAACAGCCCTGAGAACACCAGTGTTTTTAATTCTCGCTAAGTAATGTTTAGTCTGACCAAGGACTTTGTGAGTCTCATGCTCTGTCAGGGAGGAAGGGAAGCCAGGAGGAAGCAGAGACAGGACACCTGACCCAAACTAACCAAAGGGGTATTCCATACCACAGCACGTCATGCCCAGGATGTAGAACTGGGGGCAGTTACCCAGCAGAGCTAGATCACTGCTCGGTCAGGCTGGGTATCGGTCGGCGGGTGGTGAGCAGGTGTATTCTCTTCCCTTGTTATTTCCTTTATCATTATTATTATTGGTGGTAGTAGTAGTGGGTTTGTGATATACCTTAGTTACTGGACTGCTCTTATCTCAACCCATGGGAGTTACATTCTTTTGATTCTCCTCCCCATCCCTCCAGGAGGGGGGGAGTGAGAGAGAGGCTGCGTGGCTGGGCTTAAACCATGACACTGGGTCTGCTTCCTTCAGGCTCCAGACAGTCCCCAATATCTCCATGAAGAGACAAAAAAGGAAAAGGAAAGGACCCCAGGGGGTGCTGTAAGTCCTGAGGTTGGTCATTCACCATCTTTTCCCTGTGCCTTGATGGTACATCTGGCGTATGAGGGAAAGGGTGTGACCGATCAATGGACCCTATGATCAATGATGGAAGAAGGCTCAGAGAAGAGAGGCAAGGATGATGTGCTCATAAAGCTCAGAAGAGAATGTAGGGAATGACCACAGCTATCATAAAGGAAGCTAAACTTATCCCAACCAAGGGAACCAGAGAATGTCCTTTCCTGCAGGTAAATGGCAGTATCAGTTGAGTGGGTCTACCGGTTATGTATGTGACCTTCCTAAAATAATCAATAGAAAGCATTATCTTCCTAAATTAGACAGACCACCATGGGAGAAGTGTATATCTGGCTCAGCCAACACAGAGTATAAAAACTGAACATCCAGGAAAATGAACATTAACGAGAGCAATGTGTTGGAGTTGGCTTCAACCCATGTAATCTTTCCAAGCAACTGGGGATGCCCAGCATCTCAAAGGTGAGCATATAAAGAGAAGTAATGTAAATCTCATTTGTAAAGCATCTTATTGAACATTACAATTGCTATATCATGCTTGTGCTGTGATTTCTGTATATTGCTGTATCACTTTTTTAAACCAAAATCTCATGTTTCTTCAAATAAGTAAATTTAGTATTAAAACATTAAACTCTCCTCATATAGAATATATAAAAGAACCTGGTCAGAGAGTATTGGACTCTGACAGAGGGAGTCTTTTTGCTGGACCCCAGTTGTTGTTAGCCCTAATAGAACTGACCTCACTACTCCTTACATACTCTTGACATCCCAGCCTATCCCGATGTCATGGTTTAAGCCCATCGGTTGAGATAAGAAGAGTCCAGTAACTGAGGTATAATACAAAACTACTACTACTACCACCACCAGTAATATAACGATAAGGGAAATAACAAGGGAAGAGAATACAACCACTCATCACCCGCCGACCAATACTCAGCCCAACCCAAGCAGCGATCTGGCCTTCCAGGTAATTCCCCCCAGTTTCCATACTGGGCATGATATGCTGTGGTATGGAATACCTCGTTGGTTAGTTTGGGTCAGGTGTCCTGTCTCTGCTCCCTCCTGTCTTCTTGTGCCCCTCCTCACCGGCAGAGCATGAGATTCAAAGTCCTTGGCTGACATAAACATTACTTAGCAACAACTAAAAACATCAGTGTTATCAGCGTTGTTCCCTGCACCAGCTACTAAGAAGGAGAAAAAGGATTGCCACTGCTGAATGCAGGGCACCCAATGAGTCCTGAAGCCATGACTTCAGCATTACCTTTAAGGCTGTAACAACTAGGGAGTGCCAGTGTGTTATCAAAAGAGAGATACAGAGCACATAGAGCCATTCCGGCCTGCAAAAGGGCTGGGATAAGAATCTTGATCCCAGAAAGTGAAACATGAACAACAGTCAGCCAGTGAATTCAACAACCCCGGAGGAAAGAATGTGAAGAGATTTCACATAAAAAAGCACCATAGACATCACTACCTAACCAAATATAAACATCCATCATCAGCTGCTTGTTTTGCCTCCCTTTGCAAATAGAGTCCTACAGAACTATGATGCACTATTAAACTAACAGGCAAAAGCAAACAAGTGTTAGTGAAATCTGGAATAAAAATCAAGCCAATTTAAAGTCATAGGGCATTATGGCTGTTTAATTTACTTATAAAGGGTCAAAGCTGCTCACAGTGGAACTAAATGACCTTCATCGTTCTTAATTTCACTGTATAAAGTCTTTGTTCATAGAAATGTAATAAATACACAAAGGTAGGCATTTCTCCTTTCCTCTTTACTAAACAGCTTACTCTGTTACCTGTCTTTGCTACATATTTCCAACAATTGTATCCCTTTTCCTCTCAGAAATAAATGAGTGGTGGCTGTTAATTAACATGTGCAAGCCAGAAAAGGAGAACCATATGCAGGATGCCTGTCTCAGCTAACACAGTTATACTCCTTATCCCCCTCTCCCCACTTCAGAAACTCCCCTGTCTTCATAGGCTTACCATGCCATGTTCACCTCAATATGGGCATCCAAAATTGCAACAACATCTGCAGTTGATGCCTCCCAGCCAGAAATCCGGGCTTGTGTTAGGCCTTGTCTTTTCTGATGTCTGATGATCTTCAGCAGTTCCGAATGCTTTGCATTGTAATTTTTGACTTCTGTTTCCAAAGGTCCTTTCAGATCATCTAGAACCAGCCCCCAGATTTTAGTCGTTAAAAAAAAAACCCAAAAGTAAAAGAGTTCATCAGTATTAAGAAATCAAAAAGATTATGTAGGCAATGGCTTTCTAACATTTTTCAGATCCAGACTGAAACCTGATTTGTCGTTTGCAATAAAACAGAATTATTCAGGTACTTACGAATTCAAGCGGCTTATTTTAACAACCAGTTTCCTTCCTTTCAGCAGTTCCTATATTTCATTTACATACAGCGCTATCGTATGGCTTCTAAACTGTACACATATACATCAATGTGTAGAGACTTCAGACATGTGCCATAGCAGCAACCAATTATTTGTCTTAGTGCAGTAATTTCTTTATGTATCTTCTACCATGTGGAAAGGAAAGAGAAAATATACAAGCCCTGAAAATGTGAAATGCTCCTGTAAGAGATGTAGGCATACCATCTCCCTCACCAAAGAAGAATATAATGTCAGAGAAAAGGAACAAAAAGCCAGGATCTCCTAGCATCATTTTGGAAATTCATTTAATTGACTTCTTTATTTTGAGAGGTCTACCCTCTGTGCACCCAAAAGGCCACCAACATTAATTTAACACAATAGTGGCATAAATTAGCAAGACTCCTGCTTTCCCTGGGTCACTTACCATTTGAACTGTAATCATCTACCAGGATGATTTCTTTCAGTAAATGAGCAGGTGTTCTGTTAATTATACTAGTGATTGCACGTAAGATGATTGACAGTCCTTCATTCATAAATATAAGTACAACGCTAAGTGTTGGAAGGTCCTTCGGGTATGTTTTCATTTTACAGCTGTAACAGAAGACAAACAACTTTAGCACAGTTTCTAAAGAAAGAGAGCAAGGCAGCTGCAGGAAAGGAGAATTGGGATTTTCACACAGTGAAAATCAGCATAAGCGCAAGGGAAAAAAAGGAATTCCCAAATCCAAGTTTCATTATGCATTTGGGTTGTGTTATGTATGTATATAAATCACCAGGGTAAAGTTAACATTTCTGTTAAAAAAGAACAATTACTGTTTCTCAATCCAAAATAATTATAAAATATTGAACCTGAAGAATACAGTTAACTCAGCCAGCAATTATTACCTTACAAGGCAGTGGACATGTGAATAAAATCTGGCTTTTTGCATTTACAAAAGGAAATCACAATGACCAAACCTGACAGTAGACAAAAGCAAATTAGGTAATTATCCCTCTGTATGTGCAATAAAGAACAACAAGGTAAGACTAGCTATACTTATGCATGTGAGAAGGATTCCCTTGTACAAGGGATCTCTTTAGAAACGGAAAGAGCTTCAAAAGCCCTTCTTACAGAGCAAACCACTCCTTGTGGGACTTCATGCTACCCCACAATAAATTGTTCCCAGTACTGATACAAACTTGTTTTGTGCTATTTGAACACCTCTGGCCTTCTTGCTTACTGTCAAAAGATATATTTATTTATTTTAAGTATATATTTGGGATGTTTGTCAGCTCTGCTAATAGTTATCATCCTGGCCACTGGGCAGATGGTGAGGACTGGGTTTTTCTCATGGTGCTAAGCACTAACTCTCTTTAGAATAGACAACAGAGCATAGCTGGATTCTCTGGGTGATCATTCCTTCCCCTTAGAAACATGTTTATGAAAATACCAGACGGCTTAAGTTGTGTAGCTGCATACTGCAGCTCTGTGAGACATCTTCATGCTTCAGGTAGACCTCTACAGTGTCAACATTTGCACATGTGGAATGTATTTTTGTTGGAATTTCTCCTCTAGCTTTCCTACTCATTAGCACAAAAGCCTGAGGGAATATCTGCAAAACATGGTCTCTACAAACACCTCCTTATGATGTATTCGTATTTCTTTACGATGCCAAGCAAAAGAGCACCAGGCAGAGCATCCATTCTTTGGGACCACGTAGACTTATCATGTGCTTCTTCCAGCCACCTCCATGGTGGCTGCTCCAGAGAGGCCTCCAAAACAATCCCCCAGCAGAGTGGAGATTGTTGAGCTCCGGGCTACCTCAGGACAATCAGTGGCTGGCTCACTACTGCACAAGGCCCTTCTCCCTTGACCTTCTCCTCTGCAACACTACCCCACAGACACACACAGTCAAGGGCAACTTATTACTGCCTGCCCTAGATGGAACCAGGCCCACCTGGAGCAGGACAATGAGGACCCAGTTGCATAAACCTCCCCTTTACACCTTCTGGAGGGCTGCCGGTAAGACAACTCCCCTTTTCCAAGTTTGATATTGTTAATCCATGCCCAGTTTGCAACTCTGTCTGTTCCCCAAGTCCTTTTCTGAAATGCTCTATCAGAATTAGTACCAGTGACTATAGGTACAAAGGTTTAGGCTTATAGTATAAGTGTGATATTCCTCCATGTTTACATTAGTAAATTTCTGGAAAGCTTACTATTATCTGTTGCAATAAATCATGTACCTTATCACACTATATAGGAAAAAAAGTGCTTGCTTTTTTTAGCAGATATTTGTTCTTAATGAGATTTTTAATGGCTACTTATGCCAGCTTCCACAATACCACTGGTCTGCTTAAAAAAAATGCATTATCTATTGGCTTCAAGAACCAACTAGTTAGAATCACAGAATGGTCAGGGTTGGAAAGGACTGCTTGCCTACATTTTAATCCTTTAGATGTTTACCCCACTATATTTTCTGTGTAGTTAAACCTCAGACTGTTTGATAACTTAAGAAGGAAACAGAATGAGAAAATGAGGCTACAAAGAAAACTCACAAGGTCACTGGTCTATTATGCCTGTGCCTACAGTACTAAAGATAAGAGTGCTAGACATCCAGCTCACATGCTGAATCTTCTATCACCCTTCATGGAACTCACTGACTAATAATAAGTTCCAGCCAATTCTCCTGATGGGTTTCTAATCATCTTTAAGTAAGCAGTATAGGTATTCCCCACTTCCTTTCTGCAACATAGCTAAGAAAAACAAGCATTTTGTTAAAAAGGACAGAATTTTACAATGAAAGGGTTTCCTTCTTCATTGATTATATTTTGGGGAATTTCCAAATAAGGGCAAGGGGGTTAAAAATCACCACTTAGGATATCTCAGCATCTAACAGGCTTACATAAAAGACAACGTAAGAGAAAAGAGAAAGCATGCTTCAGGTGTCCTGCCTTCAGGTTTGAATAGAATATAAACAGACCAGAAGGTCTCATACCTTCTGAACTCTATGGTTAGTTTTTCCCCTCTTTACTGACAGTTAGAAGTCCTATATCAATTATAATGTTAACATTACATTCTTTTCCCTATGTGTTGTCTCTGCACTGTGACTTCTTTTCACAGTCTTTGCAGTATTACAAGTCTGAGTGAGATTTGGAAGAAAATTACTGAAAAAAAACCTAAATAAACAGAGCACAAACTGAGATCCGTTAGCAGATGATTTTAAGTTAGTCCAAAGCAATCTAGATCCCTTTCCCTTTAATTTCATGTCCCTTTGTGAAGGTAGAGAGGGCTTATACTGCACCTGGGAGATCTGGTGTCTCTGATAGGTCTATCCAGAGGTAGTCGATCACTGAGATAAACATTATACCCATAATTTAAGAAGAGATTCTGTGCAATAGTTTGCTCATCTTCACTTAAATCTGCACCCCAGCGTTGGAACAAAACTGAGTCTGGGTACAGCAAACGGTGTGCAACCTTCTTTTGCTCCTTTGCATTATCAGCTTTGTGGATTTCAGCCTTGGAGTTATCTTGCAGCTTCAGATCATGTTCTATTTGTTTTACATTCTCATGTAATGCTTCCATTGATTTTGCTGATTGAAAATAAAAGAGGATTGATTATAACAGCAGTTGAGAACACTCTCAATCATCATAATTGAGCCAAATTCTCCTTATAACGCTGCAAGTCAAGAGAAGTGCAAAGTTACAGCTAAACTAGTTATTCACATGAGAGTAGGATCAGACCCTCCCTCCTACACATGAACAGTTATTAAACATCACATTTCACAGCACCCTGCATCAGATTCTGCCCTCAATTGCAAGAGCACAGAGCAAGAGACACTGCACTGGCATCAGTGGAGAAATCTGGCAGGCGACACACAAATTGTTAAATCAGGCCCAAATCATTCCCATGATGTTATGCTTGAGTTACATTAATGTATTAATGACGCATAGCAGGATTGCCACCAAAGTCAGGCTGTTGATACCACATTTATTTTGAAAGTAAATGCAGTAAATGAGCCCTTTGCCCTCTCCTTTAATAAGCTTACTGGAATCTTCTGACTTATGCTCAGAAATATATGAACAGGATGAACCCTAATCTCTCACGGCTCTTTTAGGTTCACAATATTGTGCCACAAAGAAAAGTCACAGCCCAAGTGAGATTGTTCTTGAAGGTAAATACAATAAAAGAGGCCTTTGTAGCATCTTTTGAATTTCTGCTTTGAACATGGTAAGTCCTAATCTCTTTAGGTCCTGTTAAGTTCACAGTATTTGACTGTGCCATAAAAAAAGGCACAGAAAACACGCAGGAGCTAAAGCTTTCTACAGTGAAATTACTGTCCTGGTGAATGAAGGGAGAGGAGTGGACATTTATTTAAATTCAAGTAAGGATTCCAACAATGCTTCTCACATCATCCTCATTCAGAAGATAAGGAAGTAAGTGCTAGATAAGTGGATACCAAGGGGGATTGAACTGCCAAGATCAGAAGGTTGCAACTGCACAAAATCCGGATGGAAGCCAGTCACCAGTGCTGCACCCCAGGGGCCTAGACTGGTTCCAATACTGTTTTAATATGGTCATTAATGGCCTTGAAAATGGGGCAGAGTGCACCCTCATTGATTCTGTGCACAATACCAAACTGCAAGGAGTGGGTGGTACACCAAAGTCCTGCTGCTATTCAGAGGGACCTGAAGAGACTGCAGGAATAGGCCAACAGGAGCCTCATGAAGTTCAACATGTGTAGATGCAAAGTCCCCTGCATGTGGGGAGGAACAACCCCATGGACCAGCACCAGTTTTGCAGAAAAGGACCTACTGGACACTAAGTTGAACATGAGCCATCAGTACCCTGGGGCTGAATTAGAAAGAGTACTGCCAGCAGTTCAAGGGTCCTTCCCCTTTACTCAGCACTGGTGAGGCCACACATTGGAGTACTGTATCTACGTCTGGGCTCCTCAGTACGAGAGAGACATGGACATACTAGAGCAAATCCTACAAAAAGCCACTAAGATTATTCTGAGAGTGGGCCACCTGTTATACAAGGGGAAGCTGAGAAGCCTGAGAAGGTTTGGGGGTGGAGGGGACTTACTGATGAATATAGATATCTTATGAGAGGTGCTAACAAAGAGTCTCTTTCCTGGTGTCCTGTAAAAGGACAAGAGGCAGTGGGCTCAAACTGAAATACAGGGATTTCCATTTAAACGTAAGATGGGGGTGGTGGTTGTTAGTTGTGTTGGGTTCATGTTGTGGTTTTTCGTAAGTGCTGGTGTGACAAACTGAAACAGGTTGTTCCAGATAGGTTATTAAGTCCCCATCCTGGAGATATCCAAACCCCAACTGGACGATACCCTGGACAGCCCACTCTAGCTATTCATGCTTCAACCAGGGGAATTAGTAGAATACACCATATCCAGAGGTGCCTTCCAATCTCTACTACTAGGTGGTTCCATGACTAATTGAAGGCTTCAGCTTTCTTTCAAATGGCTCTAAAATAACCTACAGAAATATGCCCCACTATTGATGCCCATGAGAACAGGTGCCAGTGAAGACACTGTCAGCAATAACAATGACATTACGGGATACTGGTGCTTAGGATAGGGAATATTAAACCTGATCTAGATGTACAGAGAAAATTTCTCACCAAATTCAAGGGTGCAAGTGGCATTTTAAACAGCTAGTTTCAGGCTTGGATGATCAAGACATTCTAAGTTTCTTTTTCCATTCTACATAGCATGCATGTAGCTCTAATGCTAGGAGATCTGGACAATGTGGCAGTTAAAACAATGTCAGCCAGTAGGGTTCTGGCTGCTTTAGGCCTCCTACAGCTACCATGAGGTGATGAGATTCAAGCAACAGAAAAAGAATTGGAAATCTAGGGGGTCCAAAGGAAAAAGAGAGGTGGATTCTTCAGCCCTTATGCAGACAGCTCTATTGTGCCCACTTCCCAGAAGTCCAACCTACAACAGATACCTGAAAACAAAGTCAAAATTCACAAACGCCATTGTGAGAATGAAAAGGCCCTTTCCAAATTAACACTGCTCATACACAAGCATATCTGCTGGGACGCAGCTGGACGTTCACTGTGGTGGGATGAGATAGAAACAGTCCTGCCAGCAGATTTCAGATAATGCTGCCTGGGAACACAGTCCGATCAAGCAGAGTTCATCAAGGTCTTTTCCCCACAGCAACCCCATTGTGTCTGTGCTGAAGGTACATGAAGATTCACAGTTCCTCATTCTGCTCACCCGCACAGCAGAAGCCAGGGAAATGGGGCATTTCCAGTTTCTCTCAAAAAGAGATGGCAAAGTAATGGCAGGAATAATAACCACCTGAGACCGATATGCTGGTACAATTGCTGAACACTTCTAAAAGAGTTCAGGTTCAGGAGCTGCCTAATATGCAAAAAAAACCACCATGCTGACTGTGCAAGATTTCATTGTTTTGGGTATAAGCAGAGAAGCTATCAGATCTTTTTTCAAGCTTACAAGAACATAAAACAAAAAAAAAAAATGCTCTAAAGTGTCCAGAGAAACCCAGCGGTTATTGCTGCTATTATTCAGTCCTTCAGGAAATCTAGATACTTAGTCCTCAGAAAGTTAACCAGCATGTCATTTTACTTACAGAGGTTATGAATGTCCCAGTCCAAATGGTCCAGTCTCTGAAGGATGGTGTTTTCTTTCTTCAGAGATTGAGGATTTACTTCCAAGGAATCAGGTCTTCTCTTTCTTTGATCTTGCAGTAAGTGCACAAGATAACACACAAACCCTGTGCTCACGATTAACAGTGCAAGCTTACGTGATCTCTTCCAGGGTGCCATTGTGAATTTAAAGGAACTCAGCGTAGTACTGCTGGTTGGAGTTTGCCTGTGGTTCTGGGTCTGCACTCAATCTTCTCTCCAACCGTACTGCTTCAAATAGCCTCTACTTGGTTGAGAGCTAAGACTGCTCAGATGAAGTAATTAACAGTCTAATGAGTCATAGTAGTGATGATGATAAGGTACAGCTACAGGTGATTTCTCTTGCATGCTTACATGTATCTGTGCAAGTCACTGGTGCCAGAGAACACATGCAGCTCCCACTGGCTTGTGTAATGAGTCACGTGAACTGAGTGAGAACCTGGGGTGATGCTGTAGGAAGTGTGGAGTAGATGTCAAAAAACCTGTCATGCAACAAAGCACATGTAAGCATGAACACAGTTCGAATAAAAAGCAAGCCAATTCTGTTTCCTGGTCACCAGCAGCTGGGGAATTGTGAATCTAACCAAACAAAAACATTAAAATACATTAAAATGGATTTTCCATCAGATTTTGAGCTGGCTGTAAGTAATTGTGACTGGTATAGGGCACTTAGGGCACTTCAATGGCCCTCTCCCACACAGGCCACTCCTACAGCCCACCTACCCCTGCCAGCTCTACCTAACAAATTCACATAGTACACGTATGTGAATTTGAGGTAGCTCTCGCATACAGAGCTTTCCTTTCCATAAAAATAACCAGGCTTTCTCACACTTCCCGCATCGCTGTCCTACTATGGATCCTCTGCTGGCCACATTCCCTCAGGGCCATCCCTACCCTGGCATGTGCCCCCCATGGAGCACAGTCCCTTCAGAAGTAGCTCCTTCCAAACTTGTATTGGCAGACCTATGCCACCTTCTCAGCAGTTCCCTCTGAGTGTCTCCCACTGCTCCATCATGGAACTCCATAGGCTGCAGGAGGACATCTGTTCCACCATGGTCTTCACCACAGGCTGCAGAGGAATCTCTGCTCTGGCACCTGGAGCACCTCCTCCCTCTCTTCCTGCACTGACCTTGGCATCTGCAGAGCTACTTCTTCCATGTATTCTCACTCCTCTCTCTGGCTGCAAGTGCTTGTGCACAGTGACTTTTTCCTCTTCTTATACACAGCATGCCAGAGGTGCCACCATCATCATTGATGGGCTCAGACAGGGAAAGCTTCTAGCAGCTTCTCACAGAAGCCACCCCTGGAGCCAAAACCTTGCCACACAAACCCAGTACATCACTCTACTGTGTTAATTGCTGCTGGAACGAGAAGGGGGGAGAGTTGGAAGAGTGTTAAAAAAACAAGGAACAAGATCGAGATCCTTCCTCAAGCAAGAAAGGGCAGGACATGTGGAACTATGTCTCTCCTTGCCGTTTTCTTGCATTTCTTTGTCCTCATACACCTTCCCAAGACCTGAATGCTGCAAATGCTCCTAAGCACTGTGACTATTCACCTGGCAAGCCCTCCTGCTCAGAATCACAAAAAGGCTGAGGTTGGAAGGCACCTGTGAAAGCCATCTGGTCCAGCCCCCCTGCTCAAGTAGGAACACCTCGAGCTGGCTGCCCAGGACCATGTCCAGATGGCTTTTGAATATCCCCACGAATGGAGACTAGTCCATGTCTCTGGGCCACTTGGGCCAGTGAACAGTCACCCTCACAGTAAGTGTTTCCTGAAGTCCAGATGCTGTCTGAGTCACAGGTCAGTTACTTCCTAGGGGTATGGGCATATTATGTGATACTAGGAAGAGCATTTGAGGATTGTACAAGGTAATAAAGTGATTTTGGGAGGAGCAAACATAGAAGAGTGGCTGGTCAGTATCCTTGTCTGGCTCTGCCCTGCACCTCATCTGTCCTGTCTTCTTACTAAACTGTATTTCTAAGCATATTCCTGGTTGAGGGACTCTCTATTCTGTGCACATTTGTGTGCTTGGAGGTCTAAGTGCCACCAACTGGAGATCACATGTCAGAGGAACGAGTAACAAGTGGTGTCCCTCAGGAATTGGTGTTGGGCTCAGTCTTGTTCAACATCTTTGTCACTGACATGGACAGTGGGATTGAGTGCACCCTCAGCAAGTTTGCCGATGACACCAAGCTGTGTGGTTCGGTTGATACCCCGGAGGGAAGGAATGCCATCCAGAGGGACCTTGACACACTTGTGAGGTGAGCTGATGCCAACCTCATGAAGTTTAACCATGCCAAGTGCAAGGTCCTGCACCTGTGTTGGAGCAATCCCAGGCACAGCTACAGGTTGGGCAGAGAAGAGATTCAGAGCAGCTCTGAGGAGGACTTGGGGGTGTTGGTTGATGAGAAAATGAACATGAGCCAGCTTCAGTGTGAGCTTGCAGCCCAGAAAGCCAACTGTATCCTGGGCTGCATCAAAAGGAGCGGGACCAGCAGGTCAAAGGAGGTGATCCTGCCCCTCTGCTCTCCTGAGACCTCACTTGGAGTATTGTGTGCAGTTCTGGTGTCCTCAACATAAAAAGGACATGGAACTGTTGGAACAAGTCCAGAGGAGGGCCACGAGGATGATCAGGGGACTGGAGCACCTCCCCTATGAAGACAGGCTGAGAAAGTTGGGGCTGTTCATCCTGGAGAAGAGAAGGCTGCGTGGAGACCTCATAGCAGCCTTCCAGTATCTGAAGGGGGCCTATAGGGATGCTGGGGAGGGACTCTTCATTAGGGACTGTAGTGATAGGACAAGGGGTAACGGGTTAAAACTTAAACAGGGGAAGTTCAGATTGGATATAAGGAAGAAGTTCTTTCCTGTAAGGGTGGTGAGGCACTGGAATGGGTTGCCCAGGGAAGTTGTGAATGCTTCATCCCTGGCAGTGTTCAAGGCCAGGTTGGACAGAGCCCTGGGTGACATGGTTTAGTGTGAGGTGTCCCTGCCCATGGCAGGGGGGTTTGAACTAGATGATCTTAAGGTCCTTTCCAACCCTAACTATTCTATGATTCTATGAACTTGTGTGCCTGTAGTGCCAGCAACTGGAGTGACCAGAGTGAGTGAAGCCAAGTCTTGGCAAAGGAACTGGTGACCCGGAGTTTATCACAAACTGATAGCTTAATCTCTCTTTCATATCCAAAACCAACTTAAGGCCATAAAGCATAGGAATGTACATGAGAAACAGGTAAGGATCATAAAGGCACAAGGAAACAGGCAAACACCTTTTGTTTTCTTTTTCACTCAGTGTTATCACCATGCTAAGTTACTGCTCTGTTTTCACACTTTCCTGGAACACAACCCTGTACTTTGCCCCGGACAGCCTCACCACATGCAGGACCATCCTCAGATTTAAGTAACAGCAGTGTCTGCTTGAGGTGGAGCTCCTAAGAAAATGCTATTTATAGAACATGTATCTGTTCCTGTTAAACCACCCCTCCCCTAGTAAGTCTTCATGCTGTTAGCTCAAGACAGTAGGCAACTCCACAGAGACGAGACCCTGGTATTTACCTACTTGCAGAAACACTACAGCATAAGTTTAAGCCTTACACACCAGTTAATTCAATGGCAGACAGACATCACAAATGCTGTAACAGGGACAAAATAAAGTGCCGATGCCCTTTTAGACATGAGAAATCAGATACATATCCAGAAGAAACTAGATTTTTTTAAAGTGAGAATCCTTCCAACTGTTCACTGAAGCTCCTGTTTACAAACCACTCGGGGCCAAGGAAGCTTGGAGAACCTTCCTTCATCTGTAACACCCCTGGCAGATTTTCACAAAGCAAAGAGTCAAAAGGCAGAGTCAGCTTGCAATAGCCAGGTTCAGGGATGATCCTGAGATAAGTGAACTCAATAGTTTTAAAGCAAGGAACACTCACCCCTCTTGCCAAAATCATACAACCACAAGCTGGTTTGGGTTGGAAGGGATCTTAAAGATCATCTAGTTTCAAACCTCTGCCATAGACAGGGACACCTTCCACTAGACCAGGTTGCTCAAAGGCCCATCCAACCTGGCCTTGAACACTGCCAGGGATGGGGCAGCAGCAGCTTCTCTGGGCAACCTGTTCCAGTGTTTCATCACTCTCACAGTAAAGAACTTCTTCCCAATATCCAATCTTAATCTCTCTTCTGTCCTGTTACTACATGCCCTTATAAAAAGTCCCACTCCAGGTTTCTGCTCCAAGGTCTCCCCAGAAGCTTCTCTTCTCCAGGCTGAACTCAGCTCTCAGCCTGTCTTCATAGGAGAGGTGCTCCAGCTCCCAGATCATCTTCATGGTCCTCCTCTGGACTCGCTCCAACAGGTCCACATCCTGCTCCAGTGTGGGCTCCTCCATGGGCTGCCAGTGGGTATCTGCCCCACCATGGACCTCCATGGATTGCATAGGAATCTCTGCTCTGGCTCCTGTGCCACCTCTTCCTCTTCTTCTGCATTGGTCTTTATTTTTATAGGTCTGCTTACCTCACATGTTCTCGCTCCTCTCTCCCAGCTGCTGTTGCACTGAGGTTTTTTCCCCCTTCTTAACTATGTTATCCCAGAGGCACTACCACCATCGCTGATGGGCTTAGCCTTGGCCAGCCATGAGTCTTTCTTGGAACCAGCTGGCATTGGCTGTTCTGGACATGTGAAAGATTCTAGCAGCCCCCATGCTACCAAAACCTTGCCAAACAAACCCAATACAGTATTCCAGAAACAGCTTAGTCCTTTCACTTACTTCCAAGGATAAAAAACAATCCTTCAGCTCATCTTTCATGATAGCACGGAGGTAACTCCATACACAAAACATCATACCTCCTTCTCCTCAACGACACTGGCCAAGACAGAAAATTAGATACCCTATATTTCTTAAATGATACAAAGTAATAAGGAAAAAAAAAATGCAAAGGAAAAGTTTGGTTTAGTTAGGTTTTTGACAGCTCCAAGAAGACACACCATAGATAGGCCAATAGATTGCTTGATTCATAAATTCCAAAAAGCTGACCTTCAAATGGAAATAAATAATGATAGCTGGCCTGTTTCCCCTGATGCATAGAAGTGTGCTTACCTGTGCTAAGATACTCCAGCTTCTTTTAGACTTTCAGAACCCTTTTTTATTTTCTTTCAGGGGGTGGGGAAAAGAGGAACAGGGAAGTAGAAATGTAAAGATGAATCACAGCAACATACTGGGTTGGTTGTTTTGAGTGAAGGCTGTGCTGCCATTCAGTGGGGCCTTGATAGGCTAGAGAATTGGGTGGGGAGAAACCTGATGAGGTTCAACAAAGGCAAGTGTAGGGTCCTGCACCTGGGGAAGAAGAACCCCAAGTACCAGTACAGGCTGGGGGCTGACCTACTAGAGAGCAGTTCAGCTGAGAAGGACCTGGGAGTCTTGGTAGATGGCAAATTGGTTATGAGCCAGCAGTGTGCCCTTGCAGCCAGGAGGGCCAGTAGTTTCCTGGGGTGCACTGGGAGCAGTGTGGCCAGCAGGTCAGAGGGTGATCCTCTGTGGTGTGGCCAGCAGGCCAGAGGGTGATCCTCCCCCTCTACTGACCCTGGTGAGGCCACATCTGGAGTATTGTGTCCAGTTCTGGGCTCCTCAGTACAAGAAAGACAAGGAGCTGCTGGAGAGGGCTCAGTAGCCACAAGGATGATCAGGGGTCTGGAGCATCTCTCCTATGAGGAGAGACTGCAGGAGCTGAGCCTGTTTAGCCTAGAGAAGAG